TTCGCTATTCAAGTCACTACAAACTAGATCATCAGTATTTAAACCAGTGGATTACAAAAGCATCTAGCATTTCTTTTAAGCTGATTCAGACCACTGAGGGAGTCTAACAATGCTTCTGCATTTCTTTAGTTCTCTAGGTTATTCCTTAACTAAATCTTAACTTACAGTAAATATCTCCATTTTCTATTTCTGCATTTTTGTGGACTGCAGTCTGTTTGCTGTTCCTGGTGGCCTCTGGAGAAGCAGAGTTGCCTTGATGCCTAAATTAAGAGAGACACTAAGTATCTCCCCTCCCTCCGTTCTTCGGGTGCTACACCAACTAGGCATTAGTAGCCATTCTGCCTTTCGGCACCTCCAGCATCTCATTCTGTTAGCCCTGAAGGAAGTTTTCCTCCTGTTCCCCACCCAGTGCAATTTTCAGGAAAACATCAAGACCTTTCTATGACTTTTACACATAGAAAGAAATATTTAAGAGCAACCTTTTTGAAAGTGATTTATAAATACCTGATTGGGATTAATCTAGTTGTTAATAGAGATTATTTATTGGGATAAAATTAGAGGACAACTAGTGAGTTGTGTACTTTTTCTTGTATTTTACACATATAGGTCATTTAAACCAAAAATCATTAAAGATCCCCAATTTTACCCTGTCATATAAGAGATAGTGCTCCAAGAGGTATTTTTGTTGCTGTGTAATTCAACTAGTGAGAAGTCAGACAGGAACTACTTCTCCTGATTTTTAGTTCAACAGGCCTTTCCCTCTAGCTTCTGTTCTGTGATTTTCATCTCATAGCCTGTTATGGCCTTATTTTCACCTGTAGGAAGAATGAAAAGACTTTAGAAAATGCTCCCTTTTATGTAGAAAAGTACCTAGCACTTTCGTATCCTAATATATGACATTTACAACTTTTAACAATTGCTTTCTATATTTAAAATATTTTAAAACCATGATAAAGATTCCTTTTGTGTAATGACTACATCATAATTATGAAAGTGTACTCATTTCCATTATGTATGTATATTTACTAGCATTTCATCCACCTCTCCATTAATACCAGTGGGCCCTTTGCCTTCCATCTACTAGGTTTTCAGAATAAAAAAATAACATTTTGGGATCTCATTGAGACTGATGAATCTCATTAGGATTAGTTTTGGTCATCCAGAGTGTTGGTGTCACAGCATTCCAAATGTCCACGTTGCCATCGTAGAAAAAGCTGTGGCTTCATCAGAAATGTTGGATCACTTAAGAACCTTTTTATAGACAGTCCCTCTGCAGAAGTCACTTGGGTTTTATTTTACCGAAGCCTTTTCTCCTCCTCGCTCCAATGTCTATTCTTTGACCTTGAATAAAACACATCTTCTTTTTTGCTCAGCTTCAGCACTGCCCACAATTGCCATTGAGCTTAATAAAAGAGTTTTATTATTGTGGGAGAAGAGATCCTGTAAAAGCCTTAATATTCGTTGGATGACAAAAGTGAACAGTAAAGAATATTAGCTCATTTCACATTGTCTGGTGCATTTTTCTATGGGTCTCTTCTCTGGAGAGAACAGAGTGATTCTCTTGTGATGAATTTCCCTTTTGTTACAGATGACAAACCAAAGGAGCAACTGCTGCGGAGTCTCCCCAAAGTAATGGAGACTGGCTGCAGTGATGAATGTTCACACAAGTGCACCGAGGCTACAGACACGCGGAGCAGCACTCCCGAGATGCCGGCTGTGTCTGCATTCTTTAGCCTTGCTGCGCTGGCTGAAGTGGCTGCCATGGAGAATGTACACAGGTCAGTGGTGAGGAACCTTGCCCTACCAGGGTTCTGAGGCTCCTGTGGAACTTCACTCCCAACATGGAACATGGAGAAAGACACAGAAACCCAAACCATCCTACCTGACATGATTTGTGATAATTTTCACAGTGCATTAGGACTTGTGACACTTAGTTCAAGAGGATTTTTATGGCGGGTGTTAACAAAAGTTAGCATCGTGGAAAAATACACTGGAATGTAGCCAGCCAGGTGTTTTATTTTCAATACATTATTCTGTGGCTAAACTTCATTTGCACCCAAAGCCCCAGAACAGAGAAGCAGTCTTATCTCATGATTGAACATGAGCTTTGAGGCCAGGTCTGAGATCTGGCCCAGCTCTATCTCTATAAGCACCAAGGTTGTGAGCAAGATCATAAATCTCTCTACTCTGATTTTTTCCTCCTATAAAATGGGGCTAAGTGATACTTCATGGAGATTTTATGTGAAGCAAGTCTAATGTCATAGTGCTAGCAGGTGGTAAACGCCCCACTAAGGATGGTGTTGGCGGCAGTGGCTGGCTGGCAGAAAAACAGGACATCATAGTTCTGGGCACAAGAGGGGGTTGAGGGAGGATATCATGACTGGCAGAAGGCACTTGGTTTTTTTTTTCCAACTCTGTGTTTGCTACAGAGTAATTTATTTCAGGGTCCTCAGTTTTTCATCTTAGATCCAGCATAGTGCTATCCCCAAAGAACCAAAAAGTTATAAGGATCAGACTAGATCATAGATGTTGAAAGCCTTTTGAACTCAATAATACCCCAAAGAAAGTATAGTAAGTTCTAAATGTGTAATTGCGGTTTTCTGCTCATTAATAGGTCCTTTGGGAAGGCAAAAAAAAAGCCTTTTGGTAATTCAGGTATTTCATATTTTTATTGAAAGTGGCTTACCCACAGAAGAATTGCTGTCTTAGACAACCATCTGCAGCACCAAAGTGCTTGAGGTCTAGCTCAGTTTGTGGACCCACCTGTCAGGCTCCATTCTCCTCTCTTTCCTCGAGGGATGGGAGACCCTGATGTCCTCTTTGTTTGCTTCTTACTCTTTACCTGTCATATTACAATTTAGCACTTCCTCACAAATAGCCTCTAGATAATTATAAAAATGAAGTCAGTTTCCTTTTCATGTGTACATCACAAGACCCTAATAGCAAGTGAATGCTGACAGATGCCGTTAAAATGGCTCAACTCTGAGGAAGGTAGTGCACACACCCTTCTCTCCCCATGGAGTTTACAGTGAGTTCAGAGGACACACTTCATGCATGCTAAAGAGTTTAATATGTGCCTGTGTGTTACTAAGTGGGCCTGTGAATTAATGGCAATAAGACTATTAGAATTCAGAGGGAAGATCACAATTGAAGGTTCAGAAAGGGCCTCCATAGTCACCCTTGCTGCTGCCAGGGTTCCTTTCTAAATATGGCTGCGGCCCTCCAGTGCTCTATTAACCAACCTTCCAAGACAGCGGCAGAAAGCCTCAGCAGATCTTTCCACTGTTACCACCATGCCACCCCGCTCCTCCCTGCCCTGCTGGCATGTGGAATTGCTTGCTCCTATCCAGTACTTTGTCCTCCTCATGAACTGCTCCTGCTCCTCCTGGCTCCAGTTCTTTGTCTCAGGCTTCTTCCTGAAGCCTTTACGTTCATAATGCACACCTCTGTTAGCCCAGCTGCCACACTGGGTTGTAATTTGTTAATGCTTCTGTCTCCTATTATATTTGGAAAGCAAAATATACTTTCTTAGTTCCCATGACATCAACGGCTGAATGAACAAATGAATGAGTAAATGAGGTGTTCTTGACATTTGGCTGCCTTAGCTATTAGCTAGCATAGAAAAAATGGTGTGAGTAAATGTTCTTCTTTTTCCAAAACCTCCCTTAGTTAGAACAATATTGCTGACTAGAATTTCCCTATCAACTAAACAAATGACCAGTGCTCTTAATATCTACAAAGACAAACGCCCTTGGGAAATCTTAGTGGTAACTTTAGCCCTTACCTATTAATGCAGAACTACCAGCCTATGCTCTCCCTATAAACTTAATGTAATTTACCTGTGCTGCACATCAATTAATTATTGTTTAGGCATCACCTTGGTTCATAATTTAGAGGGTGGCCAATACAATTAAGGGTAGGAATATATTTCTTGCACTCTTATGTGTAGAAACCCAACATAGGAAGAGAGTTTTACAAAATGCAGGAATAGAAGTTGGAATAAACCTTTGATTGAGAGCCTGTTTATTTAGTAGGAGTTTTATAAGGAGGAAAACTCATTACACTTAATCCTAAAACCAGCCCTGCCATTGGGTTTCTTTCAATCACATTTAATGATGGCGTAGATGGTTAACTTGCCAAGAGCACACAGCTATATTGAGTCAAGATTTGAACTAAGGTCTTGAACTCCAGCATACTGTTTGTGCAAGCCTCTGTTATTCCATAGGAAGTCCTGAAGTCTCGCTGGTTCTGGAGACCTCAGTTGGTTCCAGCCACACCATGCATCGACCTCCTTTTCTTTATTGATTAAGTGGTCTTTCACCCCATTTTTTCTCTCTCTTTTTTTCATGTTGTGTTTCTTACTTTTCACTATTTTTTTCTCTATTCTTTTCCTTTTCCAATACTTATAAAATTCTTTTGGCTTTTGCTGCACTATTTCAAATTCAACCTTACAGATAAAAAACAGCATTTTCCTTTTATTTTTCTTGAACAAATAGTTGAGCATATTGAACAGTTGGTGCTTACAGCATCCCTGCATGAATAAACAGATTAATCCAGAGGTTTGATTGTAACACATGTTTTGTTTCCCTAAAACCCTAATATCTTATACTGTTAAGTGATCATTGAATTCTGAAATTCCCAAATGTTGTAATTCATCTACATTATTTTTCTTCTCGTACATCAAGAGAAGGAAATGTGTGGTTATAGTGATGGAGTAGGTATCATCTGAATCATAAAAGTTACTACATAATTGGAAAAAGACGTTGAAAGATGAAACCAGTGAACCCCTGGCAGTCACTGGTAGGGGTGGAGGTGCCGGGGGGGCATCGCCTTGTTGTGGGAAACCTGTTGGGATGCGTCGAGGGTATCCCCAAGCCTGTCTTTTTAGAATAAGAATGATGAGAATTCCACAAATTTCCTAGTCTTGTCTAGTGTCCTCTTATACACTGATTTCAACCCACGTTTGACTGGATCTTCTCAGACTCTGAAATCAGAGTTCGATACTCACTTTGACAGCACATACACTAAAATTGAACCATACAGAGAAGATTAGCATGGCTCCACCACAGGAATGACATGCAAATTGGCAAAACATTCCATATCTAAAAAAAGAAACAAGATAAAATTCAGAGTTGGTAATGGGCCTTCTTCAACCCCCTCCGCTTTCCACATGCCTGTTAGACTTTACGAGAGTTTTGTTGCTTCCTTTGTATTTATTTATTTATTTATTTATTTATTTAAGATTATTTATACAAGAACTGGGGTACAGGTCAGAGGTGCAGGAGGGTGAGAGAATTCACCAGAGAGAGCGGGGAGCAGAACAGGCAGACGGACTGCAGACACTGCTGAGGTGGGGAGCAGCGGGCGGGGCAGAAGAGGTCTCCCACGCCATGTGGGTTTTTCCCTGGCTGGTGGGGAATCGAACCTGCGCTGCAGAGGCTGTGGATAGCTTCACAGCACTGTGCTCAACCTGCTGTGCAACTGGGGAGGCCCTCTTTGCATTCATTTTTTTAAAATCATAATCCAACTCTCTTTCTTCAGGGATCATTGCTTTTATTTGTCTTTAAAGTTTTAAAATTAGGTTTCTTAGTAGAGATCTAAAGAAATGAGTCTGGTGGTTATCAATTAGCGTAGGTGAGTTTTCCCTGCAGGCGAGTCAAGAAAAGGCGCTCATCATTGGTAATATCAGTGGATCAAGAGGGAGATTGTTGTTCCAGATCCACAGCCCTTGACTGAAGGGTTCTCACTTCTTAGGGAATTTCCCCAAATTTCTTGGTGCTTTAGGCTTCATCTTTACAAAATGGAGGTGGTAGGTTGGGGATGGAGTATATTACTGAGTTGTCTAAGAGAAATTGAGATAAATTCTTTAAAAAAAATGCATAGAAGGAGAAAAGTGGCTTTAAGAAACGTAAGTAGTAAGTCTACAGTAGCTATTAAGTAAGACTTTGGAAAGCTTGTATTAGTTATCCATCATCCTGTCTTCTTTCTCATATTGTACTCTGAATAAGTACTTTCTTTTTTTCCTTTTGTTTTGCAGAGGTCAGAGATCAACTCCACTCACCCATGATGGACAGCCAAAAGAAATGCCACAGGCTCCTGTACTTATTTCCTGCGCTGACCAGTGAAGCGCTATTTAATTGTAAAACGTTGTGCTTTACCTACTACCCTAGCCTTGTCTTTACCGAGGGATGCTAGTGAGTCCAAGTGGTGGAAAATATAGACTGCAAACAAGTGCTTGTTGCCCGACATGGCCCAGATTCACTTGAAGCAGAAGTTAGCATCCTGGGCCAGTTTGTTCTTTCAGAACCCAGATTCCTTGAGGGTGATGTTATCTGTCTGATACTGAGCAGAAACAGAATGCTCCTGGAGCTTTGCTTTCTATTGAAGGCTTTTGACGGTAATAGGTGGTAACTTGGTAAAAGGCTGCCTTTACTGTAGCTCATCCAGCATCTCTTTTACCAACCAGAGAGAGTGAAACTAGTTTCGTATATTACCTAGTTATTCTTTCAAAACAAAAACAAAAAAACAAACAAAAAAAAAAACAACAAAAACTGACGCACTGCACTAGTTATGATTAGATATTCTTAGTCTTTTTTTGTACATGGAGATTTAAGTTCTAAGATGGTTTATATAATAGGTTATACCTACATTTATATTGTAGAGTAATATTAAAAAGCCTGTTCCAGAGACTCCCAAGCAGCATGGGCAGGCAGATGTACCATTGTTAGCGGTGTGCTCGGCCTCGTGGTCCATATATTCTGCACTTTTCTATTTGCCACCAGAGTGGTAGTTTGCTGGCAAAAAAAAACAGAAAAAAAAAATTACAATTCTTAACAAGCTGAATTTTTTTCTTAGCCTTCAGTGACCAAGGAGAATTTGCTTGGGGCAAATTGTGGCAAATATTTTCCCAGACAGGGGAAGAGTCCTGCAGATTACAGATTACTGATGTTTTCATGCCTTGAGGATTCTTTTATTTTTACACAGGGGTCCAAGTGACCAATGGATAGTTCATAAAAGCAAACAAACAAAAATGAGAGAAATATTATTCAGAAGTGACCTTAGTATTACTTCACTATTCTGAACACATTGAAGACACTCACTTCATGTGGACTTTGAGCTGCAGATCTTTTACATTCTCCCCAGACAGACTGGACGGGTAGCAATTGCTATGCACAGCCTAATTGGCACTGCAGGTTTCTAGAGCCATTTTGAGTTTGTGTTGTGAAAGGAGGTAGGGAGTAAAATGATGAGGGAGGTATGCCTGACCAGAGTGGGACTCTTAGTCACAGATCCACCTGCAAGTTTCTGTTTCCTTTTTTGTGTTTTGTTGCTTTTGAACATGAAACCAACCATACATATGCCAGTGCCAAGTGGATTAACTGGCTCAGAACATTCAACATATTGACTTAACCACCTGATGTTCACAGTGTCTTGTTTCCTAGCAACAGATGCACAGTGATAAATCAAAATTAGTCTGAGGCCACAGATTTTACAGGGTATTTGTTCCATAGCACAAAGTATTTCCCCACTCTTGCATCACAGCACAAACTACCAAATTTTAATTATTGGATTCCAGCAATAATTTTTATTGATTTTCAAACTGGCAGAATTTTTGATAGCATTAGTTGGAGTTTGAAGCTTTTGGATTAGATCTCTAAATGGTGACAGTTTACAAGGTTTTATCTAGCTTTCTTATTTATACTTGACTGAATTGTAATGATTTTTTTTCTAATCATAATTTGACCTAATAGCCATACAAAAAAAATGACTCTTATTAGTACTCACTTTGTTTAGCTTTTCATGGTTGTAGATATTACTTCAGTTTCGGTGCTGAAAAATATGTACAACATACTAACAGAATTGAAAAAGAAAATAAGAGTTTTTTTTTTAAAGCAGGTAAAGAGGGCAGCAGAGTGTTGGAATGGTGTCCTCAAAAATGTAAACTAATTGTTGGCATGGAGGAAGAAGGAATTAGTGAGCAGGGATAATCAGAGGTTAAAGCTTAACCCCATTCACATAGAAATAAATGAGGTCAGCAGCCCCAGATTTTAGCATAATATTTTTACTATGATACTCTTTTTATTAGTATTTTCTAAATTTCAGAACACAAAGTGAATGTTTGGAAATTGCTGGGGCCAAATGTTGGTGGCTGTTGGTGTTTTGGACCACTTGCTAGCAGTGATTTAAAAATTATAATTAGCTGAAATCCCAAAACATACCCAACATCAAAATTCGTCTGGTGCAGACCGTGCACCTGGGCAATGGTACTGACTTGTTATTCTATAGGACACGTTAGAATAGATCTATTTTTGCCAGAGCACCCTCCTTCAGTCCTCCGATTACATTTCACTAGAGTTCCTTAAGAAATTGCTGTATATTCATGGGACCTTTTTTTTAAAAGAAGCAAAACAAGATTACTTTTTTCTATGTGATTAATATCTTACTTGATCTGCTTTTCCTAAACCTCAGTGGCTTTTCCCTTAGTCAGGGGTAGGGGTGGGAGGGCAACCTACTGGATATGACTGTTTTCAAATACTTAAAAAAAACCTTTTTGTAGAAATGCTTAATTTTTAAGCGGTTAGGCACTGAGAGTAGCAGAAATCCTGCAAAGCTTTATAGTCCTTTAGACACTCGCCTTGTCGTTTCTGAGTCAAGTCTTGATTTCAATAATAGTGCTTTTCTCTTGCCCTGACTCCACGGGACAGGGGTGTTGGTATTTTCAGGTAACATTTGTTAGCACAAATATTTCAGACCAACATGTAGTGCCCCCTTCCCCCCCACCCATTTTTCATTTGCATTTCATTTCTCTTATTCTTTTTTATTTTGGAAAATCATATTGCTATGGTGTGTACGTTAATCTGCCAACAAACAACATCTACACTAACATTTGTCCTGCAAGCATCTTCAAGAGAAAAAATTGTTGCACCTTATGTATATCTCAAGCAAACCAAAAGATGATGCTGTTCTGCTTTGTTTTATTCTAAATTGTTGTATCATATCTTTCTGAAACCATTCTGAATTTAGTTGAAATTATCAATATTTATGCTTTTAACCTGAATTTCTGTATTCAAACCTGTATATAAATCTTTTGAAAAAAATTGTCCTAGCCCTTCTCTGTGATGCTGGAAGTGGATGATTTAGTCTCAGATGGAGACACAGTACTGTTCCAGTTTTCGTTAGCCTTTTATTTATTTAGTTACTCTGGGTATTTCCTATGTAATTTTGAAGTGTGTAGAGTATATTATAGTAACTGAGCTGCAGCTCTAAGAAGCTGAGTGAAAGAAAAAATACTGTAAGACATCCTTTTTAAGTTTTTATTTGTTTGGATACTGTAATGAGATCAGGAAAAGAGAAAATGTCCCATAGCCACGTTGAAGATAAAGGTTCTTAGCCCCAAATTAGGTTAGTTTTAGATCAAAATGGTTATTCATTAAAGCCCTTTTTTAAAGGTAAATCCTACTGTTGTAATTCTGACAGTCTTTTCTCCACAAATATCAGAAATGTATGTAATGTATTTCTGTCAGATGAGCTTTCCATCAATGCCATCCTGAAGCCATGCTGAGATCCCTCCACGTTACCACTGTTACTCAGTTCCTGCCATTAAATCTGCTGGAGGAAAAAAAAAAAAAGTGATGGAACACTATGAACAAAAGGGAGCGTCTGAACTGGTCTGATAGTTTAGAATCCAACATGTTTATTAATGCCTGTCATTTTCTTACTAAGTCAGATGCTCTTCTACCTGCGTCATAGAGAATTGTGTTTGCGCTCTGCAGTCTTTGGCTCATCATATGGAAATATTTGCACCGATGTAAAATCTCAAGCAAACTATGTATTGATGCAGAACCAGTAGTAAGCTGAAAACTGATGTTTTGCTTATACAGTGTGTTTTGGGGGGAGGGCGGGCAATGGGGAGTATCAAATAGCTCTGTTCCAAGTTTGGCATTTGGCATTAATGTGAAGCAGTGGGACCATGCTGTCTACTAAACTACTGTATGAAACCTAAGTGTTCTGGAGCCCAGCGGCTGGAGGTTGGAGGCCAGCATCCCTGCAACAAAGAAGCAGCAGCCATGCTCCGTTGGGAAAAAGGAAGGAAGTCAAGGGAGACC